ATATATATATATATATATATATATATATACATTTCAAAGTGATATTTACTTTCTTCCTCCTTAACAGGCCATTAATGAAAATCATCAATAACTCTCAAATATTGCTTATTATTGCTGTTTGGAAATTTACATACATTTATACAAAAGCTGATTCTTACTGTACACAAAATTGTAAAACATCAAAGCTACATGTACCCCTTTTGTTATGTTTACAATGACAAATTTTGTACAATGGGCCTGTTCCACATATACATGTTGTTTATGTCAAGTCTAGTGGTTTTACATTCTTCAATAAACTATTTCCAAAAAATAAATACTCTGTACTATGATTAATTTTGCATTCAAAAATACAGAAAACACAACAATACTCAAAACTTGCTGTTTTTAAAAAAATCCTACAGCTCATAATTCTGTTAATTGCATTTAAAAAACTCAAGCCACACATTTCTTGGGTTACAATAACAATCAAAAGATGGCTTACTATGATTTAAGCCTTTTTATTTGTATTGTGTGTTATACTTCTTGCTGTGACACTGATGTGGTTCATACAGAGTATTTGGAATTTAGAGGAGAAACAAGAATTATATACATCTTTAAAATATTCAATTATATTAACTTATACTTTATAAAGTCAGATATACAAGTTACTTAAGAGGTCTATAGGAATTGAAAAAAAAAATTTCATATTTTACTCCACCGTGCTGGTTAATTCAACATATTCTACCAATTCTTTATCATGTACCTCGTGTGTTCAAAAGTTCACTTCATGAAATAAATTATGGCTGCTCACCAGAAACAATTATTCTCATTATGGACATATGACAGGTGTTACAAAGGCTATAGCAACAGCTTGAACTGTTGAAGTAAAACGAAACAAAAATTATAACAGTTATGTGTTAATATTAATCATTTATTCTGTGCAACTAGTTAAAAAGCATTGCAAATTATGATAGTATAACTAGCATCAATAAACACAATATGATAAATATTGTTCCACATTAAAAAGAATTACCACGGTTTGAAATCCTAAATATTGAACTTACTAGCAGTATCAAGTGACGTTTTTATACTTTCTTCTTCATATTTCTCTTTCAAAGTTTCAAGTACTTGACTCCCAACAAATTATTCCCCTCATCAGAAAATGTGTTCAACTTTCACATCAAAGTCTTTCAACACTTCCAAGTTCCATCTTTTCATCAGTGCCTCTTTTTTACTATTAGTTTATATCACAAAGCCTGTGTGCACTACTGTGACGCAACGTTTCTAGAACTATCATGTATTTTGGCGAATGTTCTAGTTCTTACTAGATATAGGGTAGGCTGGTATATAAAAGAGGGGATGGTAATGTGTGTGTAGATAGTGAGTAATTGATCTGCGGTCAGAGTATTTGTGACGTTCGTTGCTATAGCGTTTGTTTAGCGCGGTTGTTGAAGTTGAGTGTATCGGTTAAGTTATATTCGGAAAGAATAAACCAGTTTTATTAAGTAAAGACTTGTGTCGCTTAAGTTTCGTCGGTACGAAGTTACGGAAAATCAATTAACAACGGTGACGTAACAGTTACTACCAGTACCATGGTACTGTCAGTGTCATAATGAAGTTGTTTCTCCGATATCGGACTCTTGGTTGACTCACTGGTCTCACAAAAACTTCACTTCCTGTGATATATATCTAACCCTTAATCAAAACTGATTCTAAAACACAAAACTGAAATCTCGTCACATAAGATTTAATTAACCATACGACATTAATCCATACCGTTTTCATGATATTCGTATATTTTTTACCCAAACAACATTGAGCGCATACAGTACCCTCTCTACAAAATCATTTACAAAACAGATAATTGTAATGCAAAATTTATCAATAAACAATAATATAATTCAGATACATGTAAAAACAAAACATTTTAATTGTTCACAAAAGTATGTTAATATTTAATAAATATTTTAGGCAATTTAAACAATTCGCTTTGTAAAAAAGTCTTATACGTTACGTTACTAAAGTTTTTATGCATAAATATTAAAAACACGGTAATACCAAAAACATCTTTAATTACAGATGTTTTGGAATTTCTTCAAATTCCATAGTCTTTAATTAAAAATGTTGTTTTGGTATTACCGTATTTTTAATGTTTATTATGAAATTTCATTTTCCACCTGATGAATCGGTTTTTATAAACTGGTACGAGTAACTGCGTCTGTTCCGGAATAGGGAACATAAATAATTAAATAGCTACGATATTTCTGATTGTCGTTTCGTATTTAGATATTTTTATGATATGGTTATCTATGTATTCGTTTAATTTTCTTAATTTTTAAGCGAAGGATGTTTTTACTATGTTGGTCTGTGTGATGTAACTGCGTTCAGTGCCGTTCCGAATCAGTTCCGCATTTTAGTATACCTCATGATTCCATCACATGTATTGCTAGGTTCTGGTCTGTTTGTTTTGTGAAATGTACTGAAAATTTAGTAGGATCATTATTAATTTTTGTTAGCTACTAGTACTATTACTAATGGTACGGATTTGTTTCTAAGTGAATTAAAATGTCAAACTCAAAGCAAGACGTTTTTATCAGTTTTGTTAAACGTTTTAAGTAGTGAAACAAACATGCTTACTGTAAAAGTGTAATAAACATTAAAAGTTAAAACTTGCATTGAACTAAGGAAGTTTGACATTTTGAAATATTGTCTGTTTGAGAAGTATGGTGTAACAATATTTCAAAAAGATACAAGTTCTAATTCATTTGTTGCGACGTGGTAGAAATAACTGCAACTTTGAAATAAGATAAAGTTATAAGGGACACGTTGATAAAAATATGGATGGGTTGGAAAACCTGAATATGAAAATCGAACCCTTTTCTGATGAAGAGAATGCTTTGTTGATAGTGAAATTATTGAAAAACAAAAAAGAAAGTAGGACAACGGCACTTCGTAGTAAGTTCAGTATCTATAAATTCAATTCTTTGTGAAACATTGTAACAGTAACAGGACACAAATATGTGGAAAAATACAGAGTGGTCCAAAATTAAATTTCCAATATTAAAATTTAATGATTAAATAGCTACGTAAATACAACCATGCAGTTTTCAACATCGTGTAGCACAACTAAAACAGTTTTTGTTGTTTGTTTTTTTTTCACTTCATTGAAATGACAACCATGCAAGGAAAGGCTGATTGCATTGGTTAACTTACAGAGACCAAGTCAGTGACTGTGATTTTAGCATAATTATAGACGACATTACAGGAAAGAAGTATGGGGGTATGGAAAGAATATTGTGTATCTCACACCTGTAGCAAACGTAGCCACTGTAATTAACTGTGGGAATGTTGTAGGGAACATGGCCTGAAAAAAGAATATCGGTTAAACATGCTGAGAGTGATGAATAGCACAAGCGTAGAAGTCTACTGACATGTCAATAAAAACTGTTTGAGTTGGGCTACAAGATTTTGAAAACTACATGGTTGTATTTACTTAGTTAATTATTAAACTTTAAAATAGGATTTATAATTTGACTGTAACTCTGTAAAAAGTCTTGACATGCAAACTTTGACTGAGCTGAGACTATAGGGTTAATAAGAACTTTTGATTTCTCTCACCCAGCCACCCTTTAATCCAATTAAGTAGTCTTTCTTAGATTATTGTTCTATCATCCAAATAATAATCAACTTTCTGAAAAGTTAATAGATTAGTAAGACAAAATTTCCTTTTGGTAAATCAATGTTGGCTCTCATTTACGATGTTATATATCACAAAATGATTTTTCAGAGCTTCTTTTACTAAACTTCATAAGGATCGTTCTCATTCAAGAACAAAGATTAACTTATCTATAATTTCCAGCACAACTTTCCAATCCTCAGAGACCTGACTAACATATAATGTCCTACCAAAAATAAAAGAGAGGTGCTCACCTCATCACAAAATCCTTGCAATGAATTTAACATTAATACTAATCATTTACTCTGGGACAATGTCTGACAATAATAGTATTAGTAACATAAATTATGATGCTATAGGCAGTGTCAATCAGTACAATGTTGGAAATACAATATAGTCCAAATTATATTTCCTATTTTAAAGTTTAATAATTAACTAAGTAAATACAACCATGTAGTTTTCAAAATCTTGTAGCCCAACTCAAACAGTGTTTATTGACATGTCAGGACTCAAAAAGAAAATGTTGCTTTTATTAGTCTTGAGGTTAATGATATCATTGAGAGTGCTGTGAGGAAATCTGGTTTATCTATACTTGTGATAGAAAAGTCCTGACGCTTGGTTAACTCGCATTCAGTGATCTCATCTTTCACAATTATTGCTTGAAAAACAACTGTGTCACATGTAATTTAGGAATTACGAAGAAATGTATGGGGTTGTATGTAGTTTAGAATATCATTGGTGACATAGTAACCAAAAATGTATTATTGAAACTGGGAAACATATGAAAGAGCATTCAGTGGAACGTCTTTGTGCTATGATAATGTGTGAGGTTGACAGCAATGTAGCTGCACTATATTGTATTAATGTTCTTCACCATGTTTATATTCTTGTCATACATTTATTATTATCTTTTTATTATTGGTAATGTAATCAAGTGTCAAACAATACATAAAGCTCATTGTTATTATTTTGAATTGCATCATCTGTTTGTTCTGTTGAGACTGTTCTAGTATTAAGTAGGCTGTCTACCTTTTGATAAAACCATAAGGTAAAGCACTAAAGAAATAAAGAATTTTTACTGTATGCTGGCTGGTTCTCTTCATTAAATAAAGCTTAATATTATCTAAATTTTAATTTCTTAATATCAAAATGAATTAGTTAAATAAATTTTCAATCTGCCCTTCTCTGATTCACATGGCACTGGATCTTTTCATCCATGTCTATTTTTTTTCGCTTGGTGTAACTGGTTGGGATACCCCAAGCGTTTGGTGGGTGATTTATTGCTTTGTTATGCAAATCAGACATGGTTCAAAGGGAAATAAAAGTAGATCTGAAACTGTTAAGGGGCTGTGGATAAATAATTATAATTGTCTGATACAATCTGCAATTTTGCCTAGAAAAAAAAGGTACTTTTGATTTTATTTAATATTTTTAGCTTTTTCCTAAAGTTCATAGTTTTTTTACATGTAATAAATAATATTAGTAGTAGTTTATTTCACTTTACAGCAGCTTTGAACAGTAAATATTATGTCTAAGAACTTGCTTTCTGTCACTGTACATAAAAATAATGAACAAAACTAAATATATATTTTTATGTGTACGTATATAAAACATTACTGAAAACAGTTTTAACAAACAAAGGTGTCCAAGAAAAACAAAAGCCTGCAGTTTCAGCAAGTAAATTTACATGCAGTTAAGCTTCATTTCTCATCATCATATTTTCCATGTGGCTTCTTAACTTTGGCTTTGGTAAACTTTCTCTTAGAATTCTTGTTTTTCTATGGACATTATGTATGTAATGTTTAATTCAAACATTTTCTTATTTTTTTCTTGCTTGAAGCTGAAAAAATACTTCTTTCTTATAGTGTCACCTCATTGGATGATAAACAAACATTAAAGAATTTGTTCTATTCTTTACATTAGCATAAATCTGTTTCAGTTGAATGTGTTTCATTGTTTAATTAAGGATTTGGAAATAATCTAGAAGCACTTGTAACATTTTTGTTATTTCTCTTGAAAAGAAACATATAAATGACATTTTCTTTTAATTTAGTAATCTTTAAAATATTGTTACGACAGCGGAAGTCACGTTCTGCTGGTAAAACGTGATGAGTTTCTAGAAGGATCGGGGAACATCAGAAATCAAGAAATGCCACTTGTTCCAGAAAGAGGTGCTTTA